TAATATTCAGTATAATAATTTTATATATGTTATAAGTATCTGTTAAAAGCCAGTGAAAAAAATAACAAAAAAATATTTTTTTGAGCATCTTCAGAAAACTTCAATCTAAAAAGCATCCTGAGAGTAAAGCATAGGTAATATGTTTTACTTTATATACTTTATATACCATTTCTTTTTTCCTATAAGTTTCGTAAAACAAAATTTTTTTAATCGCAAAACAGAATCTTAAGTAAATTAATTAATTGTGGAATATATATTAAATATACTTTGAAAGTATTAAAAATTAATTAAAAAGTCATCAATATTAAAGTTTATAAAACTTGATTGTTTTTAGATGTTATTTGGATTAAATTTAAGTACTTTTATATTAATTTTAATATGCACATGTACAAGTAATCCATTATGGATAGCTTCTTTTATAGGCTTAAAATCTTTTAATAATGTTATTTCAATTTATTATATATTGTAATCGAAACCTTAGTTATTTACTGTGTTTAAATGCGATTAAAAACTCATTTTGAAACGCAACCAAATTGGTTTAAATGAGTGCCAATGCATGTATATCGGAATATGATTTTGACTTTATCAAATCCACATAAGTGTGTATGTGTTGTAGTATAAAATACTTAATATAAATTTATATACTAAAATTAGTTTATTTTTTGGATTATTATGTGTCCCCAGTTGATGAGCCTAACATGCAACTATAAGCACTTAAGTGATGTGTAATAGTGTAAATATCCGTAGGAATTGCCTGTAGCAACAAACACATAACATATAACAAACTACAATAAATACGAGTACAACAACATGAAACTACAGAAGTAATAGTAGAATGAAGTGGTGTACTGAATAAGGCAGTGCAACTCTGATATGCTGCCGTAACGCCGTAACGCATAGCAACTTAATTCTATGAAAATGATTAAAATCAAGAAACATGTCGCATTTTGACGCAGCTAAACATGCAGAGAATATGCCATGTCACATACCGAAATTTATTGCACCAAATGCAGATGCACGTAAACGTAAACATAAGCGTAAGAGTCTGAGTCTGAGTTTGAGTGGCTCACATGCACTCAAATGCAATAAGGATATTTATGCAACTGACGATGGCTATAAATATACTTCGATATGTTTATAAGCAATAATATTGAATACTATCGAATAATATAGAATATGCATTTACGATAAATATTCCACAACGTGTGTCGCATGTGTTTGCTTTTGTGTTTAGTTGAGTGCAGCAACTGACGTACGTTAGTTGACAAAATTCGTTAGTAAACATTAATTATAATTTAAATTACGTTATTAGCAAAGTGAGTAGTAGTGCATAAAACTGAAATATAAACATTTAATGTAGAAAAAAAATTTGAATAATAATAACTAACACAAAATACATTTTAACATATTGAAAGTGTTTAGAATTATTACAAAATACAAACAAAAGTAAATTATTTTTATTATTAATATCCTTTTTGTTTTTTTTTGTTTTTTTTTTGTGTTTCACATTGAATGCTCTTATTTATTTTACACAAGAGATTAAGGAAAGATTTATTGCACATTATTATATTAAAACATGTCGCCATGCAATTCAAACAAACAAGGAAACTGAACGCTAATACTATAACATAAAACTACTAACACACTCACATACATACATGCAACTACATGTCCTTGCAGTTGCATGCACGCGGCATTCAGTGCTTGCAATGCACGGCAGTGGACGTGCATTATTTGGCATGCCATTACGGCTTTGCAGTGAATTGTGAAGTTGATCGACGTAAGCGATATGGTTTGGCTTTGCTTTGAAAATGCTTGAAAAGTGCTATTAAAGTGCATGCATCCTTTTCCTGCTGTCCTAGCTTTGTTTTTGTTTGCTTATGATAAACATTATTATCATGTGTGCATAAAAGTTTATTTAGACGTACTGTACAACTATACCACACGTGCGCCTGTGCGTCTGCCGACCTCAATGCAGAAATCTTACAAAGTGCGTTTTTCTTCTATGCTCTTTACATTTATATAGTGAAATATAATAAAAACCATGTTTAAAAAAGAAACCATTGTACTTACTTATTTTAAGAAGTTTATATCAAAGGATACTACCATTTTAATTAAAGCAATTACTTTTAATTTTATTTGCTTCATAGAGAAAGGATCTTCTTACAGTAGTGGAAATTAAAAGTAGTGGTTAGATGGATATCTTCAATGAGGTGAATGAGGCAAACTTTAAAATTAAAACTAAACTATTAAAATAAAATAATCTAAAACTATAGCTAGAGAATTAATGTGAAAACTAGGTTTGTAACTCTACACATTTACCAGTATTTGTCAGTGCACCTTTTTAAGTCTTTAATGTACAAATACAAATATTTTTTTAACTCTGCAGACGTAAAGTTTATAGAAACAAACATCCTTAATTGACTATTTTAGAACTGTGTATATAATTAGAAATTTAACTAAATCGTTTATATCAAAAAATATAACTAAAAATGTACCTGAATTCAATTTAAAATGTTATTGATTGTATATATTAAATTTGTTAAAGTTATATTAATGTAATTATTAGGGTGGCTATACAAAAAAGAAAATATCAATACTAAAAACAAGAAGCTGTTATATAACCATATAATTCGACCGTCACTTCTATATGGATAGCAAAGCCTCAAACACTATTATTTACCAGCTAGAAATTGCACAAAGCCAGACTTTGAGTAGACTTTTCAAGGTACCATGGCACATTAGGACGAATGACATTCTCAAGGATCTCAAGATTGAACTGATCAAATAATACATAAAAGATATTAGCCCTGAAATTATTTAACGAAAACTGACAGGCTTACCAACACCGCATTATCGAATCTCAGAATGGTTACACGCTGCACGGGAAAGTGTGTAGATCTGGGGTCATCAGATCTCAACTAATTTCTAGAAATTTAAGACTATCAGCGAAAGGGAAGTTACTAATACAAATACGGCCTAATCTCGGCAATGGAATGGTTACTAGAAATTTTGGTACATCTTTTGTATGAGTGCACGTCACTAACGAACAGAAACTAATGTTCATGGAAGCCCACAAAGTATTTCATTGATTTTTTTTAACAACCGTTATAGTCAAACTCACTTGCTACAGATTCTCCTTATAGTCTACAAAA